CTTTATCAATTGCCTAAGCCAGAAAGCAGGATGCAAATCTTTCCTTTTCCCTCTCAATTTGCACAACCATTGTTCCTCAAGTCTTATCCGCTCAATTTCCTAAATCAGTGCTTTACAAACTTTAGCATGAATGAGAATCATAAAGAGGACTTGTTAAAACACAGTTTCCTGGATTCTGTCCCAGAAATTCTGATTTAATGGAAGAGGTGTGGACTGAAAATCTGAGAATCTGCATTTCTAACAAGCTTCTGGCTGTTGCTGATGGTCTGCAGACCACCCTTTGTATCTCACTGTCTTAAAGGACTGCTCATTGTGCATGTGATAAAGCCCAAAATTCTTAGCATTATTTTCAGGTTCTATATGATCTTATTTATTCCTTTACGTTCGTCTCTTACCATGTTCATCTTATTCCTGGTGCTTGTTTTAATGCTATGCTGTTCCCTGAAACCTGAGTACCTATTGCTTTGCCTAGCTGATTCCTTCTCCTCCTTCACTGTTCAGATAATTTATTTACTCTATAGAGAGTACAAGATCTTTGTCCATAACTCAGGTATGGAAGAAATTGAATTTTTCTAAAATTGAACTTAATTGTTTGACTCTTACAAGGTAATAGAAATTAGATTTCAATGTGGAGATGAAGGTGGAAGGTCAGGCAACATCCTGATTACACGGGACTTTATAGGTCATGGTAAGAAATACGAGTATGTTTGTTTTATTGAAAAAGAAAATCACTCTGGTTGCCATTTGGAGGATAGATTGCAGTGGATGGTGGAGCAAAGGTAGAGGCAAGGAGACAAGTTAGAAGGCTACTGTAGTAGCCTAGGAAAAAGTTGATGATGGGTTGGATTAGGGTGGTAGAGATGGATAGTTGATTGATTCAAGATCTATTTTGGAGATACAATTGACTGGACATGGTAGTGGATTGGATGTGAGGAGTAAGAGAAAACAAGAAATACTGGTTAGGTTTTAGTTTCAGTAAATAGATGTATAATAGAACTATTTGTCGAGATGGGAAAAACCAAGAGAGGAACAACTTTTGGAGAGAAATTGAGGGATCCATTTTAAACATATTGTGTTTGAAATTTCTATTTGACAGTTGAGTAAAGATGTTAAATGGGAGTTGCCTATACATAACTGGTGCTTGAGGAAGAGCTCAAGAGTAAAAGATATAAATTTAAGACTCGTTAGCATGTAGAAGATATTTTAAACCAGAGGATTGGATGAGGTCACCTAGAGAGAGAATGTTTTATTGCAGAGAACTGAATCTGGAAGCCCACTAACATTTAGAGGTTGAGAACAGGTGGAGCCAAGAAAGAGATGGAAAAGAAGCAGCCAATAAAGTAGGAGAAAAGCAGAAAATTGTGATGACCTGAAAGTCAAGGGAGGAATGTATGCCATAAAAGAGTAGTTAGCTGAGTCAAATCTGCTGAAATATTAAGAAAATTGAAAATAAAAGAATGTGTCCATTTGTTCTGACTTGCTTTCTTCTGTAACAGCTGGGTTAGTTCCCATTCTTATGTGGTTCCATAGTTCCACATACATGTCAATTTACCATACTTTATAATAACTGTTTTAATTATCTGTAGCTCCCATTAAACTGTAAACTCTATGAGTGCAGAAGTCATATCAGATTGAATTACATTTGTAGCACAATGCCTGGCAGATAGTAAATGCTGAATAAATATTGTTTGACGATGAATGAATGAATGAATGAATGAATGAATAAACTGAAGACATACAAAAGCCGTTGACAATCACTCTCCCTCCAAAATGAACAAAAAGCATTACCTGACTCCTCAACGCTGGAAAATTCATCAAAATTCAACATTCCAGGGCCCCAGATAGTCACACTGCAGACCATGAAGTTAGTCATAATTGACAAAAATGGCATAAGAAGACAGATAGAAAAGAGGGGGCATCAAAAAAACTAGGACATCATACATTAAAAGTAGTTTGTAAACATTATAACTACCACAAAACAAGTGGGCTGGTTCTTCTTGTCTTGTAGAAACTATTAGAGCTACACATTACCTTTCTGTTGTAACTTTTCCCATTCGGTACTGTGTTACATGTTCATGGTTAACTTGATTTCACCTGTATAATTATGCTTGTGTGCGTGTGTGTGTGTGTGTGTGTGTGTGTGTGTGTTTGTTGTCGTTGAGGTGCAAAGGAGCTATATGCATTGGAATTTGTACTCTACCATGCCTCATCAATAAGCAATCTATCACTGAGGTGTTCTCGCATTTTTTTCAACTCCTATCTAAGAAGGAATTGAGTTCCAGTTTTTTGTGGCATCCTCTATTAAGTTTACGTAGACCAATCATAGTTGACTCCAAGACTGACTTCAGTTCTTAAGAGCACAGACTCTATCCCAGAATTAGCCTGAATTTCTTTCAATGCTTGGACTAATGTAGGTTACTTGTTTTCTCCCAATATATTTATATATTCATTTCCTATGGTTCTGTAACAAATTATCACAAATTTAGTGGCTTAAAATAACAATTTATTTTCTTCCAGTTCTGGAGGTCAAGAGTCCAAAATCAGTTTCATTATTGAAATTAATGTTTTGGCAGGGCTGCACCCCCTCCAGAAACTCTAAGAGAAAATCTATTCTTTGTCTTTTCCAGTTTCTGGTGGCTGTCAGCATTCCTTGGCATGTGGCTGCATCATTCTAATCTCTGCCTCCACGGTCACATTTCCTTTTCTTTTGCGTGTAGCATCTCCTTCTGCTTCCCTCTTTGTGACTGTGTTTAGGGACCAGACCAGATTATCCAAGATAATCTCTTCATCTCAAAAAGTTTAATTTAATCACATCTGAAAAGACTGTTTCCAAAGAAGGTGACATTAACAGGTGCCAAGTATTAGGACCTGATATCTTTGGGGTGGGGGACATTATCAATCTGCCACAATTTACATCCATATTTACCCACTCTGCTCAAATTGAAGTATTGCAATCCATGAACATTTGCAATACTTTTCTTAAACCCCAATGTAAATTAAACTTAGAGAAATATTTTAACTTTAAAGATTATTTTATTTTACTAAAAAATTTTTAAATAGTTTTAATTCAGTAATAAATGCAAAGTACTGCATGTAGGTTCTAAGATGATCAAGCTATTAAATAATCTGGGACCCATATCATTTGAACAGTGGTTGAAAAGATCGGCTATATTGAAAAGAGAAGAAAAGAGAAGGCTTAAAGGAAGGTCACATAGCTTTCTTTATATGTATGAAGATGTTTCACAAAGAATAGAGATTAAATACATGCTGTGTAGGTTGAGCCAGGAACAATTAATTTTAGGCAGAGAGAAGCAGATTTCAATCCAAAATGAAGAATTCAGAATGTATAGTGGAATGGACCCCTTCAAAATGAAGTTTCTTCCTAATTCTAGAAGTGTTTATGAATGTGCAAAGACCTTAAGAGGAGGAATGAAGTAGAGAATAGGTCCTCAGATATAATCATGAGGATATTTTATAAAAACATAAGTTCTCTTTATGGCTGATTCTAAATAAATCTAAGTAATATTATCCTCCTTTGATCCATTTTCCAATTACAGTACAGCCAGAGTGATCTTCTAAAGTCAAATTTGATTACGTCAGTCCCTCTGATTAAAACCCTTCATTTGCAGAAGGGCCCTTTCAGTACTGACTCCTGGTTTCCTTGCTAGTCTCATCTGACACTCTCTTCCTCTCTGCATTATGTTGCTCAACTTTAGATGCTCCTTCCTACCTCAAAGCAGTTAGACATTCTGTTCTGTTTGCAAAGCTCTTCTTCTCCTTGACTAGGTTATTCCTACCTATAGGTGACATTCTCTTGGAAGACTTCTCTAGCATGTTAAACCAGTTGGGTCCCCATATAATTTGCAAAATATTCTGAACTGCTTTATTAAGATGAAAATATTCATTGTATAATTGACTGTGTTTGTCTTCCCTGCTAAAATGTCAGTTCTTGGTGACAAAGACATTGTATCTTGTTCAGCACAGGGCTTGGTATATGTGGTGGGCACCTTCAAATATTTATTGAATGAATGATTGGAATATCTGATTTGAAGTGGAAAAGGAGTCTGATGAAAAAAAAAAAGCACCTAATTGACACCAGATTTCTAGTTGCAAATTTTCAGAAACACCAGCATAGTTTCTTAGAAGAGTGTATTTCATGAAAGAAAGGGGAGGCAGATGAGGAAAAATAAGCAATCATCAAACAAGCGAGTCAATGTGGAAAGTGAGAAGCTTCATAAAAGACAGAAAAACTGGAGAGCCAACGCATTATGGCTTAAGATGTATTGAATTGTTCATTCATTCATTCCCAAATACTTATAAAACATCTATTATGTGCCTGGCACTTGGAGTTGGAAATTCAAAGGTGGGAAGTTTTTTCCTTTAACAAATCTACAGCCTAAAAAAGACAAGTATTCGGCAAAGTAATTTCCATGAAGTGTGGTTAAGCACTGCTAAAGAAGGTATACTGGTATAATGAAATACCTAACTTGGGGGGTGGGGGAGGAGAGGGGTAGAAGAACAGGAGGAAGAGGGGTCAGGGAAGCCTTTCCGGTTTAAGTTGAGATCTGAAAGATAAGGAGGAGACTAGGCAGTCTGGGAACTTAAAAAAGTTCAATAATTATTATTTGGGAATACACAGAAAAATACTGTCAACATGTTGAAGGGCACCTTGGCAGTCTGGCTTATAGCGACTCTGGTGCGAGAGGTCATTAGCCTTGTAAACATTCCCTGGTCAAGAAAGATACCGTCCTGCACTTCGATATTCCACCTGAGCTGGCCTTGCCTCAAACTACTCATTCCTTATTCCTGCAGGCTCTCACAAAATGCAGAGCGGTGGTGACCCGCAGACAGCCGGGATCTGCCGGAAACTGCACGTAGGAGATCCTCTCTCTTCCAACTTCATTCACCCCAAGAAGAAGCCGCAGGAGCCCCGCCCACATCTAGGCACATTCTACTGGGCCGAGTCCCAGGGGCCGCCCGCGGCCGCGACGGTCACGTGACCCGAAGTATGACGTAGGAGGAAGGAGACGCCATTAGAGGGAGGCGGAAAGGCAGCTGCTCTTCGCCTTTCGTCGGGTCCCTGACGTGGTGGCTGGGTCCCTTCACTCTCGGACTCTCCCTCGGTCCTTCCAGACCTCGCCCCCAGGCGGGAGTGGAGACGGCGCTTGGGGTTGGGGGACCAGTGCCAAGGGGCCTGCGCGGCCCGTGACTGTGAAGGCGCTACTGCGGCTGTGGGGAGCTCGGCGCAGCTCTAGGGTTCGGGTGGCCGGGAAGCGACGGGATGGCTGCGGCCGGCGGCGGCGGCGGCGGCGGCGGCGGGGCAGCGGCAGGCCGAGCATACTCGTTCAAGGTGGTGCTGCTGGGTGAAGGCTGCGTAGGGAAGACGTCGCTGGTGCTGCGCTATTGCGAGAATAAGTTCAACGACAAGCACATTACCACTTTGCAGGTGCGGGCCCTAGGGGGCGGGAGTTGGCGCCTTGGGGTCCCTACCCCTCCAGAGCCAGGAGGACTTTGCTGCCATGGTCCCTGGATCTGGGCTCACAAATCTCAGGCCTGTCACCTCCACCTTCGAATTGCCTTTCTGAATTCGTCCTGGGGACACGCGGGGTCGGGGCAGCCTGTAGACGTAAGGACAGGCCAATGGCGGGGGTGGGGGTGTTGCGGAGAGTGGAAGGGCCCTGAAAAGTCCCCAGTGCCCCACGTTTGGCTGCGTATTTCGTGGAGTCCCCATCACTGGGCTAGTTTTTCCCCTTCGTTTCGCTTCCGCCTGGGCCCTAGGTGCCTTCGCCCTACAGTCACCGAGTGTCATCCCTTTTTTTGTTTGTTTCTTTCGGAATTAGGAATTTAGTTGAGGATTTGATTTTGCGAAGTAGGTGATTTATAACTTAAGCGCTTACTGATGACTAAGTGTTTATGCAAGTTCCATTTTGTCCTGTGTTCGAGTAACGTGCTGATTGGCAAAACAGTCATCTCTGGAGGGTTTTTGAAATGACCGCTTGCTGGTGTGGGTTACGCAGTTTTCACTGCTGCCTGCGTGGGTCTGACTGTCGGTCAGTTATATTCTGCGAGGTCGGTCGACTCACATTCACATGAAAACGCCATGTGAATACTGGCTAACAGTTTGCAGTTGGTCCCCAAACTAACCGTTTAGCTGCTGCTATTATCTTTGCTTGTAATATAGAGCCGGCTTTCTTCTGCAGCTACATTATGGTTACTCAGAAGAGTGTTAGAATGTAATCATTGATTGAGAGAGAAGCCAGGCTTTTGAGGCAGTTTCAGTCTTCCCTTCCCAAAGAAATCAGGTTGCACATGTTAGAAGACAAATATCTAACTAATCTGACTTGATCAGTTTAGTCAGTAAAGTCCAGTGGATTTTTGAGCCTGATTGCCTAGGTTCATATCCCACCTCCATCCATTTAATTACTTGTGCGATTTTAGGCAAGTTAATTAATCTGTCTCTACCTAAATTTCCTCATCTGTTAAAAATGACTATAATAATAGTATCTATGTAGGTCATAGGGTTGTCAGGACAAATACACATAAAAGACTTAGCACCTGGTCCAGTGAAAACTCTCCGTTTTATTATTACTGCCCCAAATTGCACAATAGGTTTTAATTAACGACTATGGAGTGTGTAAGAACATGAATACTATTTAACAGAATGTACCATCTTCTAATTGTTGTGACATTTGATGCTTGATGCTATGATTAAGCTACCGAGTCTGGAATTTACAAAGATGCTCTGGTTCTGATTCCATGTTCTATTTTTACTTCTTTTCTTTTCTTTTTTTTTTGCTCCTACTGTGTAAAGCATAATAACTGAAAAAGTTAATGCCAGGAAACTCCTTTTCTTCTTACATCCTTGTACAAGAGAACTTACACAATTTTAATAGTGATTTGTTATTGTTGAGTGTTACTAGTGAGATTCATAGGGTAACTACGTATGATCATTTGAAAGTTTAGAAATTTATTTAGGTAAAGTAATAATAACATTTATTAAGTTCTTCCTGTGCTGAGTACTTTACTTCTGTCATTTAATTCTTGTAACAGCCTAGGAGGTAGATAGTTTTACAAGTCCCATTTTCCAGGTGAGGAAACAGGCTTGGGTAAGTAGAGTAATATGCTGATCATACTGCCACTAGTCACGCTACTTAAGCTGAAATTTGAACCCAGATCTGACTTCACATTTTGAGTAGTTAAAGTCACACCGCCTCTGGATATTTATAGACCACTCCTTTAGTGTTTTCCTGTGTGCTACAGATCTAAGATAAAAGAGAAAACCATTTAAAAAATTGAGCTCTCAATATTTTAAAAAGATAATTTAGCCTTTCAACCTGAAAATTACCCTTTCATTATACATTCCAAAAACACCCTCGAAGCTAAAAGCAGGCTAAGGATTTTTAAATATCTGAGAGAAACCACTGCTGGAGACTGCCCATCAGATGTCCACTCATATCCAACCCAACTCTAGGAAGAGATCCCAAAAGCCCCATCTGTGACCAGGCACAGAATCCCAGGAATCTACATAAGATCCTGTGTGAGCTACACAGGAGAGGATGAAATTATGGCAGATCTTCAGTATTAAAGCATAGCAGTCCATATTGTTATTTATATAACTCAACACAAACAGTATCTGGATTACATTACAGAATTGAGGATTTTGTGGCATACCTGTGTGTAGAAACAGTATTATGTCTAATCTCTTTCTTGCAGGTACAAGTTCATCTCATCTTAATTTTTTCAGAGAAATTTGACTTCAGTATGACCCATAAAAACACAACCTTGTATGCTTTTAATTTCCAAACAGAGATCATGCAGAAGATAGGAGAGAAAGAGTTCCCCTTTTTTCTTGTCAACAAAACAACCTACTACTACCTATTTTTGTAAAACATTTTGTGTTTTTGCAAAGTATACTCTCAGGCATTCGTATTTCAAAGAATTATAGTCTGAGAGGAACCCAAGATAGTTTATGGTTCTCCATTTCAAGCTTTTGTTTAATATTTCAGTTGAGTGTCCACTTTTCTCTGTACATCTTGAAGGTGTGATGAACTGATAATATAGAAAGTAGAAAACTATACCCTGAAGTGGCCAGTTTCATTTTTAGATAGGTTTGATTTCTAGTAAGTTTCTCTGTTGGTAAAACCAAAATCTGTTTCCCTGTAGTTTCCAGTCCTAGTTCTGCCCTCTGAATCTTGGTTGCTCATGCCATCTCTTCTGATAGTTGAAGATAGCTATCACATCTTAGGTCTTGTCTTCTCTTTGTTAAACAGCTCTAATCTCTTTAACTGGATCTCCTATGATATCATTGTAAATCATTTCACTATTTTGACATCTTTTCTAGACACTCACCATTTAATCATTGTCCCCTTAAAATGTGATGCCTTGAGCTGTAGAAATAATTCCATGTGTCGTTTGAACTGAGTAGAGAGGTGCTGGCTATCACCTCCCTTATTGAGAATTGTTTTCTAACACTGAAGAAGAAAAGATTCTGTGATCTTTTTGGGTAGCTGTCACATTGATTAATATTAGGCTTGTTATCTTAGTCTTTTTTGCTTCAAAAAAAAAAAAAAGTGTTACATTCCTCAAATTCGAATTTTGTAGTTAAGTATTTTTATCCCTAACGTATTTGACCCATTAAAGTGAGCTTCGATTGATTTGCTTCAGTGGTTAAAGCCTGTTAATATCCTTTTAAATTTTGATTCTGTAGTTGAAGAAGCATTGAGCTTCTGCAGGTCAGGCACTTGGGTTGGGTTCTGGGCATGCAAAGAAGAATAAGGCATGAGCCCTACTGTCTGGATTAGCGATTCATTTTAACTTTGTCCCCTGATGATTTGATAAGAATGTCTTTAATTTCTCATCAGGTCATTAATAAAGACTGAAAGAAGTGGGGCGGGGTGGGGGGAGAAGGCCAAGTACAAAGCTCTGCAGCCGGTCTCACTGTAGTCAAGTGATGTGTGACCAGAGATATATATTTCTTTAGACATGCACAATCTTAGGGTAGGGCTTTTTCAGACTATGCATGGGCCACAGTCCTCTTTCTCCTTGGGTGAGAAACAGTTATTAAGGGAGTGTTGTATATATTAGTGATAATGGAAGCAGAAAGCAGCTTAAGACTGACTGCAGTGGGCTACTACCTAGTGGATACAAAGCCTTTAATGAAAATGGTTATTCCAGTATTATAAATCTAACTTTTCTGTCATAGCTACATTAGTCTTGCCCACAGGGGATGTCATGAGATGCTTTGTCAAGTTCTTGAAGACAGGATACAGTGTGTTTCTTCATTAGGAGGCCATACAATGTGGTAAAAGGGAGAATACTTTGAAGTTAGACTTTGGATTGAATTTTGGCTTCTACTTATAGCCATCATGATCTTGGCAGGTTATTTTAATGTTTCGTAAGCTGGCTCTTTATTTATTAAATGGGAGAATCTCATTCATAAGATTTTTATGTGGGTTAAATAGAGAGCCATCATCTGTAAAGCTCCTAGCATAGTGTCTGGTACATGTTTGTTAATCAATATTTGCTGTTGAATAAATAGGTGGTACTTAATTTGTGTTGGTTTCTTTCATGGTAACTCAGTCAAAAAGGTAATGGAATTAATTTGACATGAATTATTTTGAGAACCTATGCTACATATGGGATCACTACATTTTAAAATTACTTATAGATTATCTATGTATCTATACACACATACACATAGATACATACATACTTATATACATATGTATTTGTATCCTTAACCTGGCCCAGGAAACTTGATCTTACATAAAATCCCCAAGTTCTCTTATGTGATATCCCCACTGATTGGAGGCTTTGATAAAATTGATAGAGACAAGAAAGACAACCAGAGTGAGGGAGTTACTGCTTTGTCTCTGGAATTTATTAAGGCAGTACTGCTGAACGCCAACAATTAAATTCCAGAATTGTTTATTTAATACCTGTTATATACCAAATATTGTGCTAGCCAGGGAATATAGAGATGAGTAAGATACTTTAACTGTTAGCTAGTTTTCTTGACTTTACATATTCTTAAATGTTTGTGCCATTTTGATTATTACCACCTCCTGTCTTTGGTATGTATATATGTTTGTGCTATTGAGTGATCACTTTTTTTCTTTAGATGTGCCTTCTTTTTTCCCTTATTGAGGTGTTTTAAGATTATGAATCTAGAAAGTGCCTTCTATCACTTTTAACTAGTTTCCTATGTAAAAAAAAACTTGATAATCAGAACCATCGGTCATCTTCCTTTTTAGAATTTTAACTGGAATTCTACCTATTTGTCTCATAAAGTGTAGAGTAGGTGCCTGTTATTTATTAGCAAAGCAGTGGTGTAAGGGCACATAATATCCTGACAGTTTGGCAAATGAGGAACCTAAGACTTGGACTAAATTTCTAAGGTCCCACAAATAGTAATAGTGTACCATTTTTTTCTTAAGCTAAGCCTAC